TGACTTGGTGCTTTCCTCTAAGGCTTCCTACCAATAGGACCAAATTGCGAAGACAAAGTCAAACAATCTCTATACAGCGAAAGGAGACTACGACCACATAAAAGTCCACACCTTTTTGTTCTTCATACCTTCCATATCGTTTTACGTTACCTTAATTACAATATTTCGTGCAATGTTAGAATAATTATTTCTACAATAGCCTACTTATATACTAGTTCACAAATTGAAAACTGGCTTTAGTAGTGCGCATTTTTCTCAATAAAATGATCGAATCCCTGCTGTTAGATGTTAGTCCTACGCTAGTCGGCAGTGCCAATACGATTTTGATGAAAGTTGATTAAGTTTGAGTGCCTCGGGCTGTGTTGGTCCTATATGAAATAATATTTGCCAATTAACAATTGTTACTTTCTATTTGAAATATTCTTGAAGCTTTTGCAGAAACTGTAAAGTTTATCAATCCATCTCCAAATAGCAACTCTTCTTCAAAGATATTTTTGTGAATCCTCACCACGCTACATTCTTTCACGAATCAGGCATCCTCGTCTTTAGGCCTACTTGCTTGTGTATAGTTTGGGCTTTCCGATAAAGCTGGTATGCAACTGTTTTATTTAATGTCGTCATACGGCTTGTATGAAATCCTAGTCTGCATTATTTATGATAATTCACAGCTTCGGAACATGGACTTGGTACATTCGTGGACCAAGTTGCGAAAAAGAGGCCTCGTTGCCGGTTTCATGTTCTTCTGGTCCATGGATGAGGATGCTTTCTGCTCTTTAGCCCTCCCGAACTAGGACTCGAACTCGGGTACTCCGACTTCTCGAACTTCCGAAACAGCTCAACTCGACGTCGAAATCGGACACACCTTTACAGAGGGGTGGTGGTGGTGGTGAATTTGCATTAAAACGGTCCATCCAACATTTCCGTCCGGATCAGTTCGCATGGCAACAGTTCCATCGGACCACACAAAGGGCCTACAACTGGGTTGGGCTTGTTCGTGTGTTGTGTGCATAGCATGCACATGTATCAACTGAATTCATAATCTGCATAAAGTAAGGCAAAGTTTGGATCATTAGTTTGATCAACTTTACCATTTACAATACAAATCCAACCCCAAAATGTTTTAATTGTTTCGGCAAATTCACCGGTTGCTTATGGTATCGAGGCAAGCTGCAGCCTTCTCAGCCAATGGTTCAAAGATTCGTTGAAACAAAAAAGACCGCATAGAACCTGATCCAGCTGTTTTCGCTTCAAGAAGGTTAGTGCCAATTAAGGTGATTTGGGGACGGATAATTATGCTTTTGAGTTTTCCCCAAAACAGGATGATTTTCGGTCTCACATTGTCGTTGCATCTCCCTCGACCTTATCTGAGATGTATTCAGCCTATTTTCTTTAAGTTGAAGAAGGATTGGTAGTCGAGTCCCGCTCAGGTTGTAATGAGCGTCGGTAAGGCGGATGAAATACGCTTTTTGGAGTGAAAACTGATCGTCTAATTGTAGGGAAAATGCAAAATGTCAACATCACTGCCTAAACCACTTTAAGGTACCAAGACGGACCAAATTGTTCTTTAATTTTGCTATTTTTACGACTTGCTTCTCGTTTTTAAATATACTTTCGAGACTACCAGTACATTAGATACGTGAGATGTATTCACTCCATTTCGTGTAATGTGATCCCAGAATCGTATGTGTACACCTTACGTCTGCATTACATTTCATATAGCCTTTCTTGCCAAAAGGTATTCTTATCCAATTGCTGTAGCAAATATAACTTTGCCTCATCAAAAATCCTACAACAAAATGATTGGTCTTCCTTGCAAGTCACATCTGCTCAAGTGCACTCATGCAAATGTGGCGTGATGGCCAACGTGTAGATATTGTGTGCACTTTCGACATGGTTCGAGTCCCGCCGGGGGTGCTGATGTTGTACGGGTGAGTTCGAAACTGCAGTCCGCTACAGCTGGGCTGCGGCGGCTGTGCAAAATGCACTGAAAGCATCAGCTCTACTCATCCGATTGTGAGTAGTTGCAACTGCCAGCATGAAATAGGGTGAATACATTTCGTGCATGAAATGAAATGCTTAGCAACACAGCCAAAGGAATCGAGAGTATGATAATGGATATGGGTAGAAGTGCGGGTTTTTTTGTTAATTTTTTAAAAGTTCATACAAACCAGTTCATAGTTGGGGCTATGAATTGGAGGATATATGAAG